GCTATTGTGTCTTTGCTATTGTGAAGAGTGCTGCAATGAACATACATGTGCCTGGATCTTTACAATAAAATGGTTTATATTCCTTTGGGTATATACCCAGTAATGGAATTGCTGGGACAAATGGTATTTCTAGTTCTGGATCTTTGAGGAATCATCACATGCTTCCACAATGGTTGAATGAATTTACATTCCCACCAACAATGTAAAAGTGTTCCTATTTCTCCACAGCCTCACCAGCATCTGGTGTTTTTTGACTTTTAATAATCACTATTCTGACTGGCATGAGATGGTATCTCATGGTGGTTTTCATTTGCATTTCTCTGATGATCAGTAATGTTGAGCTTTTTTAAATATGTTTGTTGGTCGCATAAATATCTTCTTTTGAGAAGTGTCCGTTCATGTCCTTTGCCCACTTTTTGATGGGGTTGTTTTTTTCCTTGTAAATTTGTTTTAAGTTCCTTGTAGGTTCTGGATATTAGATCTTTGTCAGATGAATAGATTGCAAAAATTTTCTCCCATTCTGTAGGCAGCCTGTTCACTCTAATGATAGTTTCTTTTGCTGTACAGGAGCTCTTTAGTTTAATTAGATCCCATTTGTAATTTTTGCTTTTGTTGCAATTGCTTTTGATGTTTTTGTCATGAAACCTTTGCTTGTGCCTATGTCTTGAATGGTATTAACTAGATTTTCTTCTAGGGTTTTTATAGTTTTGGGTTTTACATTAAGTCTTTAATCTTGAGTTAATTCTTGTATAAGGTGTAAGGAAGGGGTCCAGTTTCAATTTACGGCATATGGCTAGCCAGTTTTCCCAGCACCATTTATTAAATAGGGAATCTTTTCCCCATTGCTTGTTTTTGTCAGGTTTGTCAACAATCGTCTGTAGACATGTGGTCTTCTTTCTCTGGTCTCTATTCTGTTCCATTGGTCTATGTGTCTGTTTTTGTACCAGTACCATGCTGTTTTGACTACTGTAGCCTTGCAGTATACTTTGAAGTTGGGTAGTGTGATGCTTCCAGCTTTGTTCTTTTTGCTTATTGTTGTCTTGGTTATATGGGCTCTTTTTTGGTTCCATTTGAATTTTAAAGTAGTTTTTTTCTAATTCTGTGAAGAATGTCAACGGTAGTTTAATGGGAACAGCATTGAACCTATAAATTACTTTGGGTAGTATGGCCATTTTCATGATATTGATTCTTCCTATCCATGAGAATGGAATGTTTTTTCATCTGTTTGTGTCCTCTCTTATTTCCTTGAGCAGTGGTTTATAGTTCTTGTTGAAGAGGTCCTTCACATCTCTTATTACTTGTATTCCTAGGTCTTTTATTCTCTTTGTAGCAACTGTGAATGGGCATGATTTGGCTCTCTGCTTGTCTATTGTTGGTGTATAGAATGCTTGTGATTTTTGCACATTGATTTTGTATCCTGAGACTTTGCTGAAGTTGCTTATCAGCTTAAGGAGCTTTTGGGCTGAGATAATGGGGTTTTCTAGATACAGGATCATGTCATCTGCAAACAGATAGTTTTACTTCCTCTCTTCCTATTTGAATACCCTTTCTTTCTTTCTCTTGCCTGATTGCCCTGGCCAGAACTTTTTAATACTATGTTAAATAGGAGAGAGGTCATCCTTGTCCTGTGCCAGTTTTCAAGGGAAATTCTTCCAGCTTTTGCCCATTCAGTATGATATTGGCTGTGGGTTTGTCATAAATGGTTCTTATTATTTTGATATATTTTCCATCAATACCTAGTTTATTGAGAGTTTTTAACATGAAGAATGTTGAATTTTATTGAAGGCCTTTTCTGCATCTATTGAGATAATCATGTGGTTTTTGTCTTTAGTTCTGTTTATGTGATTAATGTTTCTTGATTTGTATACGTTCAACCAGTCTTGCATCCCAGGGATGAAGCCAACATTCCAAACATTTTATTTATTTTTTATGTTTTTTGAGAGTTTCGCACTGTCGCCCAGGCTGGAGTACAGTGGCAAGATCACAGCTCACTACAAGTTCCACCTCACTACAATGCCATTCTTCTGCCTTGGCCTCCCGAGTAGCTGGGACTACAGGCGCCCGCCACAACGCCCGGCTAATTTTTTGCATTTTTAGTAGAGAGGGGGTTTCACCATGTTAGCCAGGATGGTCTCGATCTCCTGACCTTGTGATCCACTGGCCTCGGACTCCCAAAGTGCTGGGATTACAGGCATGAGCCACCGCGCCTGGCCTCCAAACATTTTAATCACATAAGAATGCATTAGTTGTATTTTTTTTTTTTTTTTTTTTTTTTTTTTTTTGAGACGGAGTCTTGCTCTGTCGCCCAGGCTGGAGTGCAGTGGCGCGATCTCGGCTCACTGCAAGCTCCGCCTCCCGGGTTCACGCCATTCTCCTGCCTCAGCCTCCCGAGTAGCTGGGACTACAGGCGCCCACAACCGCGCCCGGCTAATTTTTTGTATTTTTAGTAGAGACGGGGTTTCACCGTGGTCTCGATCTCCTGACCTTGTGATCCGCCCGCCTCGGCCTCCCAAAGTGCTGGGATTACAGGCGTGAGCCACCGCGCCCGGCCAGCATTAGTTGTATTAACTAGGTTGAGATAAATATAAACTCTCAATTTTTTTCCTGCACATAAAAGTCCAGAGGTAGGTAATTAGGGGTGGCACAGTGATTCCACAGTGATTCTGCTCCTTCATGCCCTCATCCAACAAGGCTTCTTGCTGCTCACCACCCAGCTACCCCTAAGTGTGGCCCTTATCTTCACGGTTCAAGATGGCAGCTAGAGCTGCTAGGTAGTTAAGGTCCTTCTCACACACTTTCCTTCTGTCATAATTAACACGGGGTTTTAGTTCATGAGGCCAAGCATACACATCACTTCCCACTGGCATCCCTATACAATATTAAATGCAAAGACACCGCAGGAGTCCTGTGCTCAAAACCAGTGCAAAATAACTTTTTGTTGTTGTTTGTGGTGCTGGTGGTTTTATTTATTTATTTTTTCTGAGACAGGGTTTCACTGTCTCCCATGCTGAAGTGCAGTGGTGTGAGCATAGCTCACCACAACCTTGACCTCTCTGGGCTCAGGGGATCCTCCCACTTCAGCCTCCCAAGTAGCTGGGACTACAGGAACACACCACCATGCCCAGTTAAATTTTGTATTTTTTTTGTAGAGATGGAGTCTTGCTATGTTGCCTAGGCTGGTCTCGAACTCCTGGGCTCAAGTGATCCGTCCACCTCAGCCTCCCAAAGTACTCAGATCACAGGTGTGAGCCACCATGGCGTCAAAATAACTTGGAAAGTAGGAATAATTGCTTGTTGTTCCTGAAAACTGTCTCTTCCACACTTTTCAGCCTCTGTCACATGATTGTGACAAAATATACACAAATAGACATACAGATACACATCAGTTAAAACTAACTTCTAGAAAAATAAATAAATCATAAAATAATTATTTAAAAAGTGGCATTCTGGCACACTGCCCAGAGGTACCCCTGTTCAGCAATTTTTAAAAATGTAAAAAATAATAATAGGCCACATGCAGTTGAGCCACTCCACCACTTTGGGAGGCCAAGGCTGGTGGATCACCTGAGGTCAGAAGTTCAAGACCACCCTGGCCAACATGGTGAAACCTTGTCTCTACTAAAAATATAAAAATTAGCCGGGTGTGGTGGCAGGCACCTATAATCCCAACTACTCGGGAGGCTGAGGCAGGAGAATCGCTTGAACCCAGAAGGCAGAGGTTGCAATGAGCCAAGATCATGCCACTGCACTCCAGCCTGGGCAGCAGAATGAAACTCTGTCTCAATAATAATAATAATAATGCAACTCCAGTGATATTTCAAACAATGGTCCCCTTTTAGGTCACACTATCAAATCAGAGAAAGATATACTTGATTAGCTGTAAAATGCAATTTGAGGTCTAGGTGAATGAACAAGTAACCTCTAAATCATAAGGCTATTGTTACAAACTGAATGTTTGTATCCCCCACAGAATTCAAAGGGGAGACAGTATCCCCAGTGTGACAGTATCAGAAGGTGGGGCCTTTGGGAGGTAATTAGGTCATGAGGGTAGAGCCCTCATGAATGGGATTCATGCCCTTAAAGAAGATACACATGAGAGCTTGCATCCTCTTTTTCTACCATGTGAGCACATGAAAAGACTGACATCTGGTAAGATTTGAAAGCATGCCTTACCAGACACCAGATATGCTGCCACCTAGATGCTGGATTTCAGCCTCCGAACTGTGAGAAATAACTACTGTTTAAGTCACCTGGTCTGTGGTAATTTGGTATAGTTGCCCAAATGGACTGTGATGGTTAATACTGAGTATCAACTTGATTGAATAGAAGGATGCAAAGTACTGTTCCTGGGTACATCTGTGAGGGTGCTGCCAAAGGAGATTAACATTTGAGTCATTTGAGGCCAAGGCGGGCGGATCACAAAGTCAGGAGATCGAGACCATCCTGGCTAACATGGTGAAACCCTGTCTCTACTAAAAAGCACAAAAAATTAACTAGGCACGGTGGCGGGCGCCTATAGTCCCAGCTACTCGGGAGGCTGAGGCAGGAGAATGGCGTGAACCCGGGAGGCGGAGCTTGCAGTGAGCCGAGATCGCGCCACTGCACTCCAGCCTGGGCAACAGAGCGCGACTCCATCTCAAAAAAAAAATATATATATAGTCAGTGGACTGGGAAAGGCAGACCATCCTCAATCTGGGTGGGCACCATCTAATCAGCTGTCAGCACTGCCAGAATAAAAGCAAGCAAAACACGGAAAGATCAGACTGGTGTAGTCTTCTGGCCTCCATCTTTCTCTCATGCTGAATGCTTCCTGCCCTCAAACATCAGACTCCAAGTTCTTTAGCTTTGGGACTTGAATTGGCTCCCTTGCTTGCAGATGGTCTATTGCAGGACCTAACCTTGTGATCACGTGAGTCGATACTCCTTAATAAACTCCCCTTTATATATACATCTATCCTATTAGTTCTGTCTCTCTAGAGAAACATGACTAATACATGGACTAAGATAGTTCCTGTCCCATTTTTTTCTTTTAAGAGATGGGGTCTTGCTATATTGCCCAGGTTGCTATGTGGTGGTTATTTGTAGGCACAATCATAGCATGCTATGACCCTGAACTCCTGGGTTCAAAAGATCCTCCTGCCTCAGCCTCCCAGGTAACTGGGAACACAGGTACCCACCCCCACATCCGGCTAATTTTTGTATTTTTATTAGCGTTTACCATGTTGGCCAGGCTGGTCTCAAACTCCTGACCTGAAGTGATCTGCCCTCTTTGGCCTCCCAAAGTGCTGGGATTACAGGCATGAGCCAGGCATGGCCTTTTGGTTTCTTATGTGTAGGAGAGGATAAGTTTCTTCCTCAGAGTGTGCTGCAGCCAGACATAATATTTCTCCTTGGCAGGAACTCTGCTGTTCCAATCATACATGTGGCCATTGAGTTCAATGTGGAGATCCAGGAGTGGGCGTTTTCTGGAGAAAACAAGAAAGGCAAAATTTAATGCCATGCAAATATCAAAGAGAAGACAGATTGTCCTTAGGGCGAAATGAGCCAACAGATGTGAAAGTTATTTGAAACTGTTCCCTTCTAAATGCACCACAAGCTGCTTAGCAAATGATCCAAACTAACTTGCAGCACTCTGGCTTAGTGGCCACCATGCCCTCCCTCAAGGGGCTGCTGAGTTTCACTCTGGGAACATACCAGCCAGATGATAACCCACGTGGATCACCTATGCAAACAGGGATGGGCTCAAAAGGCCAGTAATACCACTGGCCCATGGAGTATCTATCTTGGAAGGCTGAGTGGCTCCTGCTCTAACCCCCGCTTCCTGCTGGGCCACCACTAAGGAGGCCAGGTAAAGAAGGCCATGAGATTTATTGCTGGGGTATGCAGAGGTACAGCCCAAAATGCATTTTGACAGGTGGCTCAGAAACATCATTCTAAATCGTTAATTAGGGTGCAACTGAAAAAGGCCAGTTAATCTTATACTTGAGGTACATTGTGGCTTCATTCAGCTTAAACAGAAACCAGGACACTGATGCTTCTCTTAGAAAAGTATTCTTGCCAATAAACATTTTAAAAAATGTTTACATAACAAAGCCTTCCAGATCTGAACAGTCAGATACCACTTTTCACCTATCAAATTGTCAAAACTTGGGGAAATATAAGAGCATGCAGTGTCAGGGAGAATTCAGGGACACAGCTACTCTCCTATAAAGCTGATATGACCATCCTATAGGACATCTAGTAAGATGCATCCAAGGCTTGAAAAATGCATGTCCTTTGACTCAGTAATTCCACTTCTGGGAATTGTCCCCCTAGAAAACAATTAAGGATAAGAACAAATACTAAGCTGCAAGGATGTTTCTTACTTTGTATGAAAGCAAACACTATGCAACAACTAAAGACTGATCAAGTAAATTAAGCTATGGCCATATTATGGGCTGTCGTGCACACATTAAACTGATGCTATAGAAATGTGACTACTGACATACAAAAATGTTTTTGATCTAGTGTTAAACAAACTAAAAGCAGGTTATAAAGTGGTGGCAGGCTGTGAGTGTCTTTCGGGCGATACACGGGCTAGAGGGATGTGGGTCCTTGCCCTCTCCCTGTGTGCCTCATCGCCAGGCCTTGAAAACTTAAGGAAATCAAAGACTTTCTGCTCACAGCCAGGTGAAAAGATGACAAATCTGTCAAGATCAAGAAAAATAAGGATAATGTGAACTTTCAAGTTCGATGCAGCAGATACCGTCAGAGAAAGAGAAGGCAAAGAAACTGAAGCAGCCCTTGTCCCCTGCTTTAGCAGTAAAGGAGCTGAAATGAGCCAGACATGCTGATTTGAACTGTATTAAAATTTTTTAATTAAAAATAAAAAAATAATAGATGATGATTCCATCTGGGCTTACAAACATACTTCTGGGCTGGGTGCGGTGGCTCACGTCTGTAATCCTAGCACTTTTGGAGGCCGAGGCAGGAGGATCACTTGCGGTCAGGAGTTCAAGACCAGCCTGGTCAACATGGTGAAACCCCGTCTCTATTAAAAATACAAAAATTAGCAGAGCGTGGTGGTGCGCGCCTGTAGTCCCAGCTATTCAGGAAGCTGAGGCAGAAGAATTGCTTGAACCCAGGAGGTGGAGGTTGCAGTAAGCCGAGATGTGCCACTGCACTCCAGCCTGGGCAACAGAGCAAGACTTCACCTCAAAAAACAAACAAAAAAGATATACTTCTATATGACTGTGTGGGTATCAAATAAAAAAAGATCTGGAAGGTGGCCAGGTGTGGTGGCTCATGCCTGTAATCTCAGCACTTTGGGAGGCCGAGGTGCGCGGATCACTTGAGGCCAGGAGTTCCAGACCAGCCTGGCCAACATGATGAAAACCCTGTCTCTACTAAAAATACAAAAACTAGCCAGATGTGATGGCAGGTGCCTGTAATCCCAGCTACTCGGGAAGCTGAGGCAGGAGAATCACTGGAACTCAGGAGGTGGAGGTTGCAGTGAGCCAAGATCATGCCACTGTACTCCAGCCTGGGTAACAAGAGTGCAACTCTGTCTCAAAAAAAAAAAATTAAAAATAAAAATTTGTGGCCAGGCACAGTGGCTCACGCTTGTAATCCTAGCCCCTTGGGATGCCTTGGGATGCCGAGGCAGGCAGAACACCTGAGGTCAGGAGTTCAAGACTGGCCTGGTCAACATGGTGAAACCCAGTCTCTACTAAAATTACAAAAATTAGCCAGGGCGTGGTGGCACACGCCCGTAATCCCAGCTACTTGGGAGGGTGAGGCAGGAGAACTGCTTGAACCTGGGAGGCGGACATTGCAGTGAGCCAAGATTGTCCCGCTGCACTCCAGCCTGGGCAAACAGCAAGACTCCATCTCAAAAAAAATAAAAAAATAAAAAAATAAAAATTTGTTATTTGTATGTATTTATGTATTTATTGGAGACAAGGTCTCCAATACTGTACTCCAAGGCTGCAGTACAGTAGTGCAATCACGGCTCACTGCAGCCTCAAACTCCTGGGCTCAAGCAATCCTCCTACCTTAGCCTCCCAAGCAGTTGGGACTACAAGCGCACACCACTGCACCCAACTAATTTTTAATTTTTTTATAGAGTAAGTTCTCACTTTGTTGCCCAGGCTGAAAATTTCTTAATTTTGAAGAAAAGTATTCAAACTACAAACTAACTAACTACAAAGTATTTATAAATCGTGCCAGGCTGGCCGGGCGCGGTGGCTCAAGCCTGTAATCCCAGCACTTTGGGAGGCCGAGACGGGCGGATCACGAGGTCAGGAGATCAAGACCATCCTGGCTAACACGGTGAAACCCCATCTCTACTAAAAAATACAAAAAAAAACTAGCTGGGCGAGGTGGCGGGCGCCTGCAGTCCCAGCTACTCAGGAGGCTGAGGCAGGAGAATGGCGTAAACCCGGGAGGCGGAGCTTGCAGTGAGCTGAGATCCGGCCACTGCACTCCAGCCTGGGCGACAGAGCCAGACTCCCTCTCAAAAAAAAAAAAAAAAAATCGTGCCGGGTCTATACTGTAGTCCTACGGCAACCCCAAAGCAGGAGGGAAAATCTCTTTTCCTCCCAGAAGAGAAGGGCAGCAAACGTGGCACAGTGGTAATTCCTATCCTGTGGCACGAAAATAAGCAGGTGGTCCAGAACTGACCACCTCCTGGGGGCTCACCTTTCTTGTCTCAGTTTCTGGGAGAGGCACTGCAGGTACAGGGACGGTGAGCTGCAGGACCGCTCCAGCAGGGACACATCCGCAGTGCACAGGCTCCAGAAGAAGTCAGCTTCTCGGTGAACTGTGCTCAGCCCTCGCTGCTGAGCCTTGAATTCCACATTCTTCATTGCTGGCCCATCCACCTCCAAGAGGCTGCTGTCCTCCAGCTGGCCCTCTGACACTACATAGTTCTGAATAAAAAACACCTTTGGCTTCCCTGCTAGATAAGGGCATGAATCTCCCATGAACATCCTCCTGATGTGATGCAGGGGGAGTCCTGAGTGAGTCTGATCCACACCATACAAGCTCTGCGAGCCTCCTCGGCTCACCAGGACACATACAAAGCTATCGTAGTCTTGGTGCTCAGGCATACAGGCAAATTGGCCAAGAATCTGGGATATACCATTCACACTGAGATGCAAGAATTTCTGGACTTCATAGCCCAGGGAAGTGAAGGTGTCTTGAAGAAGCTCTGGGGAAAACACAAAACAAACATGTAAAACAACACTGGAGTGAGGAGAGCTCAAGAGGACTGGGTAGGAATCCTAGCCATGGTCTAATCTCCATTATGAAAAGCTTCTGCTTTTGTGTCATATTTTGACAGGCTCAAGTCCTGGGCAGTTGGAACAGGAACCATCTGAATCATGAAAGACGTGACTTTAGGTCCCTAAATATGGTCTATACCCTGCTATACCACTGTTCCTGCCTGATGCCAGCCACAGGCACAGACTGAGCCCACTCTAGTCCAATCAAACCAAGGGGAGGAAAAAACCTTTCTTTCTTCAACGACCTTCTTACTGAAGTCCAGACCTCACAATCTTTCTCTCTTCTGAGTGGCTCACTCTGGGGGAAGCCCACCACCACATCATGAAAGTACTCAGGCAGTCCCTCAGAGAGGCCCACATGAAGAACAGGCTTCCCGCCAACAGCTAGCACCAACTTCCCAGTCATGTGAGTGACCACCTTAGAAGTGGATCCTCCAATCCCAATCAAGCATTCAGATGACCCAGCTGACAACTGACCACAACTTCACTAGACTCTGGGCCAGAACAGCCCAGCTAAGCTGCTCCTACATTCCTCACCCACAGGTGAAGATATAATTAAATTAGTACTGTTGTTTTTGCCACTAAATTTTGGAGTGATTTGTATACATTTTTAGGTAAATAATTCACTAGGTAAGTCCTTTGACCTTTCCTATCAGTAAAAGGAAAAGGCTTCTTACTTTTCTCCTTTGCTTGGCCCACAACTAAGGATTAAACAATGAATCATTGGCTGGGCTCAGTGGCTCACACCTGTAATCCCAGCACTTTGGGAGGCTGAGGCAGGCAGATCACCTGAGGTCAGGAGTTCAAGCCCAGCCTGGCCAAAATGGCGAAACCCCGTCTCTACTAAAAATACAAAAATTAGTCAGGTGTAGTGGCACGCCCCTGTAGTCCTAGCTACTCAGGAGGCTGAGGCAGGAGAATCGCTTGAACCCGGGAGGTGGAGGTTGCAGTGAGACAACATTGCAACACTACACTCCAGCCTGGGCAACAGAGTGAGACTCTGTCTCAAAAAAAAAAAGAAAATGAATTATTGTATCATGTAATAATGAAGAGATACAAAGGAAGTGCTGATATTTCTAAGTCTATAATCAATCAGCATCATTAACAAGGAAATAGGAGACATGATTCACAGGTTGCAAATAACCCATTAAACAGTGAGGGCAGCCAGGCCCAGTGGCTCACGCCTGTAATCCTAGCACTTTGGGAGGCCAAGGCGGGCAGATCACCTGAGGTCAGGAGCTCGAGACCAGTCTTGTCAACATGGTGAAACCCTGTCTCTACTAAAAATACAAAAATTAGTCAGGCGTGGTGGTGCTCACCTGTAATCCCAGCTACTTGGGAGGCTGAGACAGGAGAATCGCTTGAACCCGGGAGGCAGAGGTTGCAGTGAGCGAACACTGCGCCACTGTACTCCACCCTGGGCGACAGAGCAGGACTCCGTCTCTAATAATAATAATAATAATAATAATAATAATAATAATAATGAGGGTAAATGCCTTCACAGGATCTCTGGGCAGCTGTTATCAGGACTGTAATTTTGTACAGCCTTTTTGAAGAGCAATTTGGGAGTATCATTAAATTTTAAATGTGTATGTGCTTTATAAAAAAAGGAAACTGTGTGGTAGAAGAGGCCTGGACGCACTGTCCCCTAGTCATCTCTGAGGGTGCAGGCGAGTTTCAATACCCAGTACTGAATCCAGGCTGAACAAGGAGAGCACCTGGACTAGGACTCCAGTTCCATCACTGCTATTCTATTCCAAAGGACTTACACGTCTCTAATCATAGAGTATTTGCTCCCCCAGGGGGCAGAAGCAAACAGGGAAACACCAGACTCAAAGCTCTTTTGTTTACTTATCTCAAGATTGGTTCACTTCCCTCAAAACCTCTCTTCACTGATAAATGTCCTTCCTTATCAAAGTCCTTGAAAGAAAGCTTCACCTCGTTCTCCCTTCCCATGCTGATATGTGACGCTTGGACAGAACAAATGCTATACTGTGCCTTCCAGCTCTTTCCTTTATTTGTGCTCCCTGGAGGTTCTGGCTGGGGAAGCCCCTGTCACATGACCGTCAGCAGACAGTCGCGTGGTGCAGGGCAAAAGAGGAACCAGCCTTGCAATCACAAGATGTGGGTTTAAGTCCTAGTTCCTCCATCTCCTCTTACTAGGGTCTGAATCTTGCATGGTCTTGGAAGAGGACTGGGCTACAACAGCAGACAAGCTAGGAAGGGAATGGGAATCTGAGGTCTGGGGCAGAAAATCCTTACCTAAAAGAACAGAAGAAAAATAGCTAAAGCTGGAGGTGAAGCCAAAAACCATGCAGGTCCCAAATGCCAAAAAGAACAGCAGGTCTGAGCCTCAGACAAGACAGAGCATTGCTTAAATGTGTGGCAAGGCAGTCACTCCATAGGCCCAGCCTGAAGACATCACCACTGACATTTCCCATTAATGTCACAATTTTCCTCTATGAGATGGTGAGGTGGAGTGGGAAGGGTTGTTAGCTGGCACTTGCAACTTTATTGAGCCAGCAAGAACATGCACACAGCCCAGTCTAATGTACAGGATCAAAAAGGTAATGACAGTGTGACTGAGTCAGTTTGAGTCAGCCCCAGTTTATTCATCTATAAAACAGGATTAAAATGAATGCTTGGCCAGGTGCAGTGGCTCACACGTATAATCCCAGCACTTTGGGAGGCCAAGGTGGGAGGATGGCTTGAGCTCAGGAGTTTGAGACCACCCTGGGAGTCACAGGGAAATCCCATCTCTACAAAAAATAAAAAATTAGCCAGGCATGGTAGTGCATGCCTGTAGTCATCACAGCTACTCAGGAGGCTGAGGCAGGAGGAACTCTTGAGCGGGAGGTTCTTCAAAAGGTGACTGTGAGGGCAGGGTACGGTGGTTCATACCTGTAGTCCCAGCACTTTGGGAGGCAAGGCGGGTGGATCACTTGAGCTACAGAGTTCAAGACCAGCCTGGGCAACATGGCGAAACCCCATCTCTACCAAAAATACAAAAATTGGCCAGGCATGGTGGCACGCATCTGTGGTCCCAGCTACTTGGGAGGCTGAGGAGGATCACTTGAGCCCAGAAAGTGGAGGAGCCAAGATCGCCCCACTGCACTCCAGCCTGGGTGAAAGAGTGAGACTCTGTCTCAAAAAAAAGGTGAAAAAGGTGACCGTGAGGATCCAGTGAGATTTCTGTAAAGATGCTTTGCAAACTGTGTTTATTCAGATATAAGATATTGACTTTAAAGGAAACAAAGGAAGCCATTTCAAAGTACAAATCACCAATCTTATGGTGTTGCACATCTCTCATGGAATCTCTCTCTTAGGACCTGGAGGGAGGTCTCTATATTCTGAACTAAAATGGGCTCAGAGCGGACAAAGTCCAAGTCCTATGTAGGCAGAACAGTAACTGTTTTGTCCTTGCACATAAATAGAGGAAGAAAAACTTGGGGGCTGGGTTTGGAAAATAAAACTTCAACAAACTACAGAAGTCCCACTTCTCCTTCTAGAACCCACCCTGGAAAACCCACACCCAACCCAGTCTGATCTCCAAAAATTCCAACGGTTCTTTAGAACTTCTTGAAATGATATGGGGGAGGTAGAGAGGGGAAGGGTGGGGGTTCTTCTGGCCTTGCAGTTAGTACAGGGCTGTTCATTCAAGGTCAGGGTCAGCACTACTCACAGGTTTGAGGACTTCACAGATAAACCAAAAAAACCAAAATACAGTAAAATGTATTTTAGAATTTAGAATTTGTTTTGATCTAAATGAGGGTGCATTTATCTTGACAATTTCTATGAAAAGGGCTTCATTAAATAAATGTATAAAATAAACGAGAATGAGGGAATGCTTCACCGGTTAATTTACAATCAATTACTGTGTACCTTTAATAAGCCCAGTGTTAATTGCTATAGAGCACATGGGCAAAACATAAGATGGGCAAAACATTCTTAGTGAAAAAGGGAGTTCTGAGGTCAAATGTGTTTGGGAAATGCAAGGTGGACAAGGCTAAAATAGGTTTATTCGCAGGAAGAATTCTCAGAGCCTTTAATAGGTCAATATGCATTGCAAATATCTGAGGGGGAAGAGATTAGGCAGCACTTCTCAAATTTACTTGACCAGAAAACTCTTGTTTTACAAAGTTCCCCTTATCGCCTACAGAAATACTTGGACAAGAGAATACATATCAAATACATGATGTACTTAAATCAAAGAGCTTATAATCTTGTTGGGGAAGCAAAGCTTATAAATGCACATAAAACAAAGATTACGTGGTGGCTCATGACCATAATCCCGTGATTTGGGAGGCCAAGGCAGGAAGATCACTTGAAGTCAGGAGTTCAAGACCGCCCTGGGCAATACAGCAAAAAACCCTGTCTCTACAAAAAACAAAAATAAGTTAGCCAGACATGTTAGCATGTGCCTGTAGTACTAGGGACTCAGGAGGCTGAAGTGGCAGGATTGCTCGAGCCCAGAAGTTTGAGACCAGTCTGGACAATATAGTGAAACCCTGTCTCTACAGAATATTTTAAAAATTAGATGGCTGTGGTGGTGCCTGTGTGTAGTTCCAGCTACTTGGGAGGGTGAGGTGAGAGGATCGCTTGAGCCTGCGAGGTTAAGGCCGCAGTGAGCTGTGATTGTTTCACTGTGCTCCATTCTGGGTGATAGAGCAAGACCCTGTCTCAAAAAAGAAAAGGAAAGTACAGAAAAATGTTCAAGCTTTTCAGAAAGAACAGGGTAGAAAAAAAAATACTTCCTCTTGGCCAGGTGCGATGGCTCATCCCTGTAATCCCAGCACTTTGGGAGGCCGAGGCGGGTGGATCACCTGAGGTCAGGAGTTCAAGACCAGCCTGTCCAACATGGTGAACCCTGTCTCTACAAAAATACAAAAGTTAGCCGGGCATGATGGCGGGTACCTGTAATCCCAACTACTCATGAGGCTGAGGTGGAGAATCGCTTGAACCCGGAAGACAGGTTACAGTGAGCCAAGATAACGCCATTGCACTCCTGCAGCCTGGGCAACAGAGCGAGACTCTGTCTCAAAACAAAAACAAAAACAAAAAAAACTTCCTCTTAAAATTTGCAAACATCGTCTTTTATTTTTATTCAGGGGACTTAAAAACAACCAGAGCTTCAGGCCAAGCCGTAAAGCCCATCTGTCAGAGATGTGAGACGTTTGCTTCTATATTCCCAACAGAATTAAAAAGTCCAGTGTTTAAAGATGACCCACCAGGGCCTAGCACAGATCCAGCTTTGCTATCACTGACACAGATGACACAACACCAAAGACTTATTTTTCAATTCTACCAAACTGAGATAATTAGCCCCCAAATCCCTAAGCATTTACTTCTGCCTCAAGAAGAGGTTACTGAACTCCATAAGGATTCTTCTCAAGAATGAACTACCAAAGAATAACCTTATTTCATGCACAACACAGCTCTGAGAACGGATTCCACCTCATTGCCTTAATATTTGCTTCACACAGGGCCAAGCATGGTGCTTTGCACATAGTAGGCCCTCAACAAACATTTACCGGACAAAGAAATAAAGCTATAAATACTTGGGAGACGTGCATGCTCTCTGGATAAAAGTCTGGTTTTTTGAGGACAGAAGTGAAGACAGGTAGAAGAGAGTCTGCTAAACTCTAAAGATAAAAAGGATTGGCTTTTATAAACACACTGACACTGGGAGAGCTTATTCCTTCATTCATTCACCCAACAAATATTTATTGAACACCTAGGTACCAGGGATTGTTCCAGGTACTGGAGACCCATAGTAAGAGGGATGGATAAACTCCCCCACCTTCATGGAAATTATATTGAGGCAAAGTAATTAAAAGCATAGGCTTTGGAGTCCAGCTTTTGATCCCAGCTCAATCAGTACTAGAGAAGGTAGGAGTGTAGTTCACTGCTTAGCTTCCTCACCTTGAAAAGAGAGAGAATAGGCCGGGAGCGGTGGCTCACGCCTGTAATCCCAGCACTTTGGGAAGCTGAGGTGGGCGGATCACGAGGTCAGGAGATCGAGACCAGCCTGGCCAACATGGTGAAACCTCGTCTCTACTAAAAATACGAAATTAGCCGGGCATGGTGGCATGAGCCTGTAATCCCAGCTACTCAGGAGGCTGAGGCAGGAGAATCACTTGAATCTGGGAGGCGGCAGTTGCGGTGAGCTGAGATCGCGCCATTGCACTCCAGCCTGGGCAACATGAATGAAACTCCGTCTTAAAAATAAATTTAAAAAAAAGAAAAAAGAAAAATTAGCTGGGCGTGGTGGCACATGCCTGTAATACCAGCTACTCGAGAGGCTGAGGCAGGAGAATCGCTTGAACTTGGGAGGGAGAGGTTGCAGTGAGCCGAGACTGCACCACTGAACTCTAGTCTGACAACAGAGCAAGACTCCGTCTCAAAAAAAAAGAAAAGAAGAGAACACAGAAAGAATATTCCTAGTAAATTAGTTCTAAGTAGAACAAAAAAAAATTTAATGGAGAGAACAGCACCTATATTATGGTATTTATGAGGATTAAGCACGAATCCATGTAAAACAATTAGCATAATACCTGGCACGTAGTAGATTTTTAATAAATTATGTACTCTGAGCACAGCTATGCCCAGGTTAGTCCTATCATGTTCCTGTTTGTTTCTTTCAGAGCCCTTATTTCAGCTGGCAATTACCTTACCCGCTTGTAGGACTCCTGCACTCCTCCCAAGTGTTCAATGTTAACCAGGTGGCAAAGTTAACTAGACAGAAGAAATCCACATAATTACTCTAGATGAAGCCCCCTAACTGCAGATTAGATGAAAAGAGATGAAGGGTGCTGCACTAATAACAACCATTTTCAACCAAGGCAGGATTCTGGGCCTAGAATCTTCAGTGACAAATCACCAGGAGGGGAGGAGGAAAATGAAGAGCTGGAGGCCTAGAGAGATGATGTGAGGAGAGGAGACTGTGCCTTTCCACTTCATAATAATTAATGTTCTCCTGCTGCTCTGAGTCTGTGCATGTAAGTGGATTCGTGACCTCGCAGCTGATGAAAACCATAGCACAAGAAGAATAAAAGTGTGCTGCCTTGTTTCTTACCTGCTAATTAGCCACCTGAGCCCAGGGGGGTTTATAAGAGGCCTCAAGCCCAATTATTGATTTTGTTCCCAGAGGCAGGGAAGGCTTGAGTCAAATCACCCTGATTCTCAGGGGGAAAGGCAGCACTGAGCATCCAGGGTACCCTCTAATGGCCTAGGCCTACTCTTGTCCAGCAATATACCACCAAGATGTTGAACTTTAAAGGACTACGTCCGACCAGGAGGGACCTGCTGTCTAGAGTTGCCATTCTGATTCTTGGAGCTCATATACAGACACATCAGCAGCCATGGGGCAGGAAACAGATATACTAATGCAGTCAACACCAATACCTACTCATACCTGCAGCCAAAAGCATGATGCCCCAGGCTCTGCCTCCAATTCTACAGTCCTCTTCCATCTTTCTCTCTTATCAGGTCTCTGCCCTCCTGTACTTTGTACTTAGATTCTCCTTTGCCAAGCCCATTCAGACTGTGACTGGTAGGAGTGTTGTGCTCAGCTTTCCACTTGAGTGTTTATCCAAGAAGTTGTCCCCTCTCAGGTTATGGCCTCCATTCCAGTGCACCACAGCCTACGGGGATGTATCCCACTCATGCATCCCCTTGGGCCTAGAGCAGGCCTCAGTGCCCTGGTCTCTCACTTGTCTGAGATCAGATTCTATGTACCAAGTGCAAAGAGCCATGGTGAGCTCTTGCTTAGGTGGTTTATGGCTAGAATTAAACAAGCAAATGAGGAAATAATGCAAGTTGGCATCTAGTACAGGCTCATACTGTGCCAGGCACTATTCTAAGCCCTTTCCAAGTATGAACTCATTCATTCTGCCCAACCTCCCTGTGAGGTAGGTCCATTATTAACCCACTTTACAAAAGAAAAACTGGGACTTAAGGAGGCCAAGAACTCAGCATTACAGGAAAAATAAAAATAAAATTTAAATTAAAAAAAAAATTAGAAGCCGGGCATGGTGGCACACGCCTGTAATCCCGGGAGGGATGTATTCAGGAGGCTGAGGCAGGAGAATTGCTTGAACCCAGGAGGAAGAGGTTGCAGTGAGCCAAGATCACATCACTGCACTTCAGTGTGGGCAAAAAGAGTGAGACCTCTCTCAAGAAAGAAAAAAATAAAAAAAAAAAAAAAATAGAGGCCAGGGACATTGCCCAAGGTCACAAGCCAGAACATGGCATAGCCATGATTCAAACCCACACTGTCATATTCCATTTCTCAACTCTGATCATGCTCCTATAATGCAGAAAAATACGAATATACATTCAGCCCCTGCCCACAAGAGGCCCACAACCCAGCAACAGAAGCAAGCACAGACATTGAGTTTTAGCCAAAAAACTTGGTTTTTCAATTCACAGCAGGTCATGGCTTTTTTTTTTTTTTATGATTCTCTTCGTACAACAGATATATGTACATCTGCTGATGAATGAAATAACACTGACCAAAACCAGAAGTACAGGACAATTACATAATCTCTTAAAACAGGAAGTGACTCATTAAGAAAATATTTTCTCATTCTTATATGGGTACTAATGGCTAAAAAGCAGAAGACACTTATCTTTCTCACATCTAACCAAAAATAGGACATGACCAAGCAGGATCACATCTGAAATCCTGGAAAATTTAGTCTTATATTTGACCTTCTCTTAACCTCTCTTCCTATAAAACTCCCCATGGTAACATTTTAAGTGAGCCTAAAAGATAGTTCTGACTCATTTTAAGAGAATGTTGAGAAGCTCTAAAACTGGAAATATAATGATCGATCCTCTTAAGGAAGAGCTAAATAATTAAACAGAAAGTCATTCCACTTATCTATGCTCTTCTCATTCTCTTTTGATGCAGCACCAGTGATTCAGTTTGAGTCAGACATCCAACAACAACTGAGCAAAAGCAATGGTGACTCACAGATAGAAGAGACTGAGGCCAACAACCAAAGCAAAGGATAGCAGAACTGACACATTGCTCAGAAAATATCCAAAGCTCTGTAAGTGAGCTCACATTTATCATGTCTTTAATGTTCCCAGGAAAGTTTTTGTCATCTATCTAGGTGAAATGATGGGGCATGTGATAGATAGTATGTGAAGCCAGAATGCCTTCCATTAATATTAATGTCCCTCTGGGTTCCAGGACTCCTCCCTGCTATAGCATCCAAATGAAAAGGCAAGACTGAAGCTCACCAACTACCGTAAATGATGTCTTTGTGTCAGAGACACTGTTACGTGTTCCCCAAATCCATTTCATTTTCCTCCTGACACGCAGCTAGACTAATTTCTCCATGTCTACTACAGTTAGATGGAGCCACATGACTGAGTTCTGACCAATCTAATGAGGTAAAAATGATGCATATTATCACTTTTAGGCCTGGTCCCTAAAATCTCTTATAAGATCTTCCACACATTCTCTCTTCCCTTATCTGCTAGCCAGATACAAAGGACTCTGCAGAAAACCAAAGACCTCAGAAGATGATGGAGCCACTGAATGGCCACATGAACAAAGACCCCCCCCCGGCCCGATCCACACTAGCCTGTAACATGAATGAGAAACAAGTCTCTGTTATGTTGAACCACATATTCATTTTTTCTTTTTTTGAGACAGGGTCTTGCTCTATCACTCATGCTGGAGTGCTGTGGCACAATCCTGGCTCACTGCAGCCTTGACTTCCTTAGGTTCAAGTGATCCTCCTGCTTCAGCCTCCTGTGTAGCTGGGACTACAAGTGTGCACCACCACACCAGCTAACGTTTTTTTTTTTTTTTTTAAGACAGAATCTCACTCTGTCACCCACGATGGAGTGCAGTGGTGCAATCTCGGCTCACTGCAACCTCTGCTTCCCAGGTTCAACCAATTCTTCTGTCTCAGCCTCCCAAGTAGCTGGGACTACAGGCATGCACCACCATGCTCAGCTAATTTTTGTATTTTTAGTAGAGACGGGGTTTCACCATTTTGGCCAGGCTGGTCTTGAACTCCTGACCTCATGATCCACCCACGTCCACCTCCCAAAGTGCTGGGATTACAAGTGTGAGCCACCGTGCCTGGTCCACACTAGCTAATTTTTAACTGGGCTCAAGCAATCCTCCCATCTCAGCCTCACAAAATGCTGGAATTCCAGGCATGAGCAACCACACCCAGCCTGAAGCACAGATTATTGAACTGGTTTGTCATGGCAACTGGTGCTGATCACTCTAATGAATACAGCTTGCCTGTGCCATGATCTCAATCTGAGGGCACCGGTTAATCTGCAGCTTCCACACCTACCTGTCTCATTGCCAATGCAATCGATTATCAGGCAGATTCCTAGGGGCTTGCTCTTCATCTTGTATCTCTCTTCAGGTATGCTCTGGAAAGGAAGGCAAGAATTGCTAAAGACTCTGGATATTGCTCTCTTTCTATGAGGTTCCACTCATATACCATCTCTTCTTTTGGATTTCCTTTGACAGGTGAATCACTCAACAGACACAGCCTGAAGTTTCCCATTATGGCAAATGTTTCCCATTAATATCAAATTTTTCCTCTATTAGGGTAATGTGCTCAAGACAAATTATTTTATTTTTATTTAATTTTAATGAAAATCCCAGTCTCTTTATTGGCTTTGTGGAATAAAGATAATTTGAAAAACAGAGAAAACATGAGTCATTTGTCTCCACAGTAACCTGAAGTTATATAAGTGGTATCTTCCCAAGTACAAAGGGAGCCCTTCTATTGCTTCTGCTTACAAAGAAGTGTCAACCTAATAAAAAGCCAGAACAAGTCAAAGTTCAGGGAAGTATCACTGCTGACTTACATGTTCAGCAGTCACTGAGTCGAGACAAGGGGTGCTACTTTGGAACTTCCCTGCATTCCAAAGTTCACTAATGCAATCCTCCCTTTAACAACTTTCTCTTTGTTATTCAGAGTTCCCTTGTATGGAAGTTCACAGAACACCACTCTCAGCCTCCCATTGTCTCAAAGAATTCTTAATGGACAGATATTTTTAAAGAAGTCAGGGTTCTCCACAGCTATGTACATATAATACCAAATCAGACCATTTATTCTGTACCTGAGGCAAAAAAGCTTCTGATTCCTGAATGGATGTCTTCACTGGTTCTTCTGGGGGATGAGAGAGAGAGATCATTTACAAAGCTGAAGGAGAGCTAAATCCACCCCCACACTGGCTTAGTTTCTTTGTATCACAACTGTTCTCCCTTCCTATTTTCTTCAATTATCTCTTCTTTCCCCAGCTATACTTGGCCCTGAGGTTCCAACCTCACATTGAAGAAAGTGACATAAGAAAACACAAGTCCCAGTGCTACCAGGGGCTATCTGGAAAAGTTGCTTAAACAGCAAGTGAAGAAGGCTCTCCCCTACCTCACTCTAGGTGAGGAACAGGTAGCTGGTGAGTTTTTAACTTGATAGGAGAATCTAATAACCTCACCACCCAACAATACTGATAGCTTTCCTATCAGGAAATTGTTGACAATACCTAAAGGGAACAGCCTTAGAGAGTGCAGAGCAGGGAAAACTTATATGTGTTTGCTAGCTATAAAACAGATGGCACTGTTTTCATAGTCCAGTGATACTGGGAGATCATAAAATAAAATGTCAATGGCAAGACAGTGACAACGGGGGCAGTGAGCCTGGCAAATGCAGATGAGCCTAAAGCTAATTTGCTAGAAAAAAATGACTTGATTAGGTCAGGGAGGTGAATGAACGACCAGTTTTGAGCCAAAATGGTGCCACTGCACTCCAACCTGGGCAACAGAGCGAGACTCTGTCTCAAAAAATAATAATAATAAATTTAAAAAAAAGATACACAGGATATATTAAGTGAAAAATGGATTATTAAATAATATGTATAATATTGATTCTGTGTACTTAAAAATATCTATTTGTGTACATATACTTACACATGTATTAATATATGCTTACATATAAAAGAATCTAGAGGTATAAAAATCAAACATTAATAGCAGCTATCTCTGATACTTGAAAGAGGAAATTTCACTTTATATTTTTTGTATTTTAGCAATTATATATTAACAGAACAAACAAAGAAAACCCACAAAATAATCTATGTGATATACCTATCTCAGTTTAAGGCATTTAGCAAGAACTTACTAAATTGAAGTTATCACCATCCTCATCAAATTCAATGATGGCTGAATAGTTGAAATTTATTTGGAAGTCCAAATTAATATAAATATTTGGCTTGATTATTATTATTTATTTGGATGGAATCTCGCTCTGTCATCCAGGCTGGAGTGCAATGGCACGATCTTGGCTCACTGCAATCTCTGCCTCCCGGGTTGAAGCGATTCTCCTGCCTCAGCCTCCTGAGTAGCTGGGATTACAGGTGCGTGCCACCACACCTGGTTAATTTTTATATTTTCAGTAGAGACGGGGTTTCACCACGTTGGTCAGGCTGGTCTCGAACTCCTGACCTCGTGATCCACCCACCTTGGCCTCCCAAAGTGTTGGGATTACAGGTGTTAGCCACCATGCCTGGCTGACCATTTTAAACCTCTATTAAATTAAGTCCAAGTTATTAGAAAGCTTTTGGGGGGGGGACAGAGTCTTGCTCTGTCACCCAGGCTAGAGTGTAGTGGCAAGATCTTGGCTCACTGCAACCTGCACCTCCCAGGTTCAATCAATTCTCCTGCCTCAGCCTCCCGAGTATCTGGGACTACAGGCGTGCACCACCACGCCCAGATAATTTTTGTATTTTTAGTAGAGACGGGGTTTCACCATGTTGCCCAGGTTGGTCTCGAACTACTGACCTCAGGTGATCCACCCACCTCGACCTCTCAAAGTGTTGGGACTACAGGCATAAGCTACCATGTCCAGCCCAGAAACCTTTTTCTTTATTAGCAAATAAACCAAGTCCAAGCAAGAACAAGTAAGCAGCTCTCCTAATAGGATCACAGGGATATTGGGATTAATTCCTATGCAAATCTACTAGGTCTCCTATTTTCCCTTTAAACAGCCTTCGGAATACTAATTCTCATCACCTCACCAGTGTTTTAAGAAACATGCTGTTATTTCAGGAATTAATTAGCTTCTCAGTAGTTTTTGCTGAAAAGCACAGTATCAGGTAGAGAATGACAGGCATGAGCTACACCATCTGACTAATCCAGGCCAAAATAAGTTTTCAGGTACACACAGCACAAAGACTGAGTCATAACGTATCCGTAAGGGGACTGCTACACAAAGAGGGCTTCTATTAGGCCACTGCCCTACTCAAAACATTCATGATGTCCCACCACACACAGGACAGATTCCAAGCCCCTTGGATAAGACTGAAGCCCTCCATCGCAGCCCATCAATCCCTGCTTCCTGGAGTTCGGAACCACAACCATGTGCTTCATCAGTGTAAGACAGAGTCTCAGCTCTCACTTCAAGGAGGACTCAAGCAAAAGAAGTAAACTTTTGCTGGGTACAGTGGCTCACGCCTGTAATCCCAGCACTTTGGGAGGCCAAGGCAGGTGGATTACTTGAGGTCAGCAGTTTGAGACCAGCCTGACCAACATGGTGAAATGTTGTCTCTGCTAAAAATACAAAAATTAGGCTGGGTGCCGTGGCTCATCCCTGTAATCCCAGCACTTTGGGAGGCCAAGGTGGGTGTATCACCTGAAGTCAGAAGTTTGAGACCAGCCTGGGCAACAGAGTGAAACCCTATCTCTACTAAAAACACAAAAATAATCTGGGTGTGGTGGCGCAAGCCTGTAATCCCAGCTACTCGGAGGCTGAGGCATAAGAATCACCTGAACCCAGGAGGCAGAGGCTGCAGTGAGCCGAGATCGTACCACTGCACGCCAGCCTGAGTGACAGAGCGAGACTGTGTCTCAAAAAAAAAAAAAAAAAAGGCCGGGCGCGGTGGCTCAAGCCTGTAATCCCAGCACTTTGGGAGGCCGAGACGGGCAGATCACGAGGTCAGGAGATCGAGACCATCCTGGTGAACACAGTGAAACCCCGTCTCTACTAAAAAATACAAAAAAATAGCCGGGCGAGGTGGCGGGCGCCTGTAGTCCCAGCTACTCGGGAGGCTGAGGCAGGAGAATGGCGCAAACCCGGGAGGCAGAGCTTGCAGTGAGCTGAGATCCAGCCACTGCACTCCAGCCTGGGCGACGGAGCCAGACTCCGTCTCAAAAAAAAAAAAAAAAAAAAAAAATTAGCTGGGTGTGGTGGTGCATGCGTTTAATCCCAGCTACTCAGGAGGCTGAGGCATGAGAATTACTTGAACTCAGGAGGTGGAGGCTGCAGTGAGCCGAGAGTGCACCACTGCACTCCAGCCTGGGTGACAGAGTAAGACTCCATCTCCAAACAAAAAAAAAGAAGTAATCTTTTAAAAAATGATCTATGGGATCGAGTGCTAATGTTTTAAGAGAGAAAACAGATCATGCGGGTTGAAATTGACCTGTCTTTAAATTGCACGTTTTCTTTCTTTGTTAGGAAAGGGGGGATATCATCTGTAGAATATCCAGATTTATTAAATGGGCTATAAGACAAGAACTTATTTACCTTTCCTCTTCCTGCTGCTAGATATTTGGTTTAACATGGTTCATTATCATGGTTGGATGAATGTTTAACATGGCCTGGTTAGAGCTCCATTCCATTTCAGTTATAAACGTCACATCTCTTAAAATATAGCCAAGATGACGAAGCTGATGGAGTATGATGGTGTTCAAACTTAGATAAGCTAATTCAATAGACAACTAGAAATGCCAATGAGTCCATCGTAAGAGCTTAACCGGTTTTTATTTTGAGAGCTTACTTAGATTATGTAGATAAAGGAAATTGCCAACTCTAAAAATGCAACAGTTGTACTAAAATTATCAAGCATTTATAAAGAATGAATATTAAAAAAAGGTGGTCTTACGTTGAGTGCCAAGTTGCTCCTTAAGTCTTTGTTCTTTACTTCTCCCATTGTGGAGCTTCAAATACAAAGAATAAGGTCACATTTCCTGTTTGTTATTTCAGAGGTACATTATACATTACACCTCTTTAAATGTCTCAATAGGATTCTTAACCCAGGAAAAAAATAAAAATATCATCTCCACAGTTAAATTATCTAAAGAATAGCAAGAGCTGTTAACTCCATAAATCCCATATCATATTACCAAAGAACAGGGAAATTCTGCTTTTAGAAAATGAAAATAGGCCACGAGTGGTGGCTGACACCTATAATCCCAACACCTTGGGATGCCAAGGTGGTTGGATCATCTGAGGTCAGGAGTTCCAGACCAGACCAGCCTGGCCAACATGGTAAAACCCCACCTCTACTAAAAATACAAAAATTTGCTGGGCATGGTGTGGGTGCCCCTGTAATCCCAGCTTCTCAGGAGGCTGAGGCAGGAGAATCGCTTAAACCAGGGAGGCAGAGGTTGCAGTGAGCTGAGATGGCGCCATTGCACTCCAACCTGGGCGAAGAGAGTGAAAAGTGAAACTCTGTCACAAACATAAAAAAAAATAATAAAATAAAAATACGCTAAGCTAGCATAGTAGAATGTTTCAAAACAGCCCAATAAAAGCTGATGTTACAGTATAGTATAGTTGCTAGCATAGCTCCAGGTTAGGATAAGCTGTTAGAACATGAGATTGACATTCCACCTGTTCCTTCAACATGGGGCAAAGTACAGCATGGTTAAGAGTCGGATTTCTAGCCCAGACAGACCTGGCTAGGAATCCTGATTCTGCCACTTATTAGCTATGTAATCTTGAGCAAGTTATTTAACTTCTGTATGTGTGTCTGTTCATATGCTAAATGAGGATAATAATAATAGATACCTTACAGATTTCGTATGAAGATTAATGCATACAAAGCGCTCAGCACAGTGCCAAACACACGGAAGTACACCATAAATGTCCAGTTATTGCTTTTCTATCATTGCCTAGCTACACATAAGCAACATATGGTCCTGATTCTTGATAATCAAATATTCTTCATAAACCACTTCTGAGGGCTAGAGTAAGAGTAATCAGAGAATGAAAGATTAAACCAACCCTTTCTCTTCTCAGACGATAGGTCCTATGTAAGATACACATAAAACATGCTGTCAACCCATCTGAGACACTCAGCTTTCAAATGACAGTTCTTCTCTGAAGCTAACCTAGCCAAAAGAGAGAAGTACACTATCTGTTAAGCTGTGTCAGTAGCTAAGTCTGTGTTTCTAAATTAAAAACATGTAAGTTGCCGGCCGGGGGCAGTGGCTCACGCCTGTAATCTCAGCACTTTGGGAGGCCGCGGCTGTCGGATCACGAGGTCAGGAGATCGAGACCATCCTGATTAACATGGGGAAACCTCGTCTCTACCAAAAATACAAAAAATTAGCCGGGTGTGGTAGCCGGCGCCTGTAGTCCCAGCTACTCGGGAGGTTGAAGCAGGAGAATGGCGTGAGCCCAGGAGGCGGAGCTTGCAGTGAGCCGAGATCGCACCAGTGCACTCCAGCCTGGGCAACAGAGCGAGACTCCGTCTCAAAAAAAAAAAAAAGTAAGTTGCCTTTTTTACTAATAATTAGTAACTTAGCCAGAGGCTGATCATATCAGATAGAAACTGGCCCCGTGCATAGATGTGTATTCACTTATACAATTAGAGAGAGGTAACATCAAAGATGGATTTTAAAAGCATTGTATTGTAGCCATATAATTTTTAAATTCTTTTTTTTTTTTTTTTTTTTGAGACAGTCTCACCCGGTCGCCCAGGCTGGAGTGCAGTGGCGCCTGCAACCTCTGCCACCCAGGTTCAAGTGATTCTCCTGCCTCAGCCTCCAGAGTAGCTTGGATTACCGGCGCCTGCCACTGCGCCCGGTTAATTTTTGTAGTTTTAGTAGACACAAGGTTTCACCACCTTGGCCAGGCTAGTCTTGAACTCCTGACCTCATGATCCACCCGCCTTAGCCTCCCAAAGTGCTGGGATTACAGGCGTGAGCCACCGCGCCTGGCCATAATTTCTTAATTCTATAATATCTTGTGGTATCCTGTGGCATTTAATCACACAGTAATTTCTGAAGCACTTCTGCAGACTCATATGAGTTAACTTCCAGGTATTCAGCTCCTAAACCTCTTAAGGAAGTCACTGCATTCATATGCCATAGTGCCTGCTTACTAAATTAATGAATGAATAATCAGGGTCACTTTTTTTTTAGATGGAGTTTCACTCTTGTTGCCCAGACTGGAGTGCAATGACACAATCTCGGCTCACCGCAACCTCTGCCTCTCGGGTTCAAGTGATTCTCCTGCCTCAGCCTCCCAAGTAGCTGGGATTATAGGCATGCACCACCACACACAGATAATTTTGTATTTTTAGTAGAGACAGGGTTTCTCCATGTTGGTCTCGAACTCCCAACCTCAGGTGATCCGCCTGCCTTGGCCTCCCAATGTGCTGGGATTACAGGTGTGAGCCACCGTGCCCAGCCTTAGGGTGACATATTAAATATAGAAAATTTAAGGAGAAACTAATATGCAAAGCATATGGGCTCACAACAGGCTACATAGCAATGAATATGCCTCATTTACAAAATAGAAACACAATAGTAAAAATATGACAGGTTTTCAACTGAGAATGACAATATAATTTATATTAGACAGACAATAGCAGAGAAAGCTCAGAAACCTGGATCTGAATCCTAAATCTGCTTTTTCTCATTATTTGGTATTACAGAGACTCAGAAAGACAAAAGAAAGCACATTTCATTCTTTTAAAAAATGTACGCTAGGCCAAGCGCAGTGGCTCACGCCTGTAATCCCAGCACTTTGGGAGGCTGAGGTGGGCAGATCACCTGAGGTTGGGAGTTCAAGACCAGCCTGACCAACATGGTGAAACCCTGTCTCTACTAAAAATACAAAGTTACCCAGGCATGGTGGCACATGCCTGTAATCCCAGCTACTTGGGAGGCTGAGGTCAGAGAATCGCTTGAACCCAGGAGGCAGAGGTTGCAGTGAGCCGAGATCATGCCATTGCACTCCAGCCTGGGCAACAAGAATGAAACTCCGTCTCAAAATAAACAAAAAGTACGCTATATCTAAGCTATGGCATGACAAGTATACAGTTTATTATATACATCACAGTGCAGTGGAAGGAGTATGGGCTGGGCCCAGCTCTGCTAGTAGTTAGAGGTACAAAATCGCTTAATGTTCTTTAGGGCTAAGTTTCCTTATTTTGTTCATTAAGGGGATTGGATAATATAATCCGTAAATCCATTTTAGCTCTGAAATTGTACTGCTCAGTAGTGTATCTTACAGACATATTCGCCATGAAACCATTTATATTACAAGAGTGGTTAATGTTTTCATTACATCCTTTTACAAAAGCATTTACACACATATATATATATACACACACATACATTTTTTTTTTCTTTTCTTTTCTTTTTAGAGACAAGGTCTCACTCTGTCACTGAGGCTGGAGTGCAGTGGCACACTCACAGCTCACTACAGCCTCAACCTCCCAGGTTCAAGCAATTTCTCCCGCCTCAGCCTCCCAAGTAGCTGAGACTAGAGGCACACCATCATGCCCAGCTAATTTTTGTATTTTTGGAAGAAATGGGGTTTTGACATATTACCCAGGTTTGTCTCGAACTCCTAGGCTCAAGCAATCCGCCTGCCTCAGCCTCCCAGAGTGCTGGGATTACAGGCATGAGCCACCACACCCAGACAAAAGCATTTTTTTTCCTTCTTTTTTTTTTAGGGGCTTTCTGGCAAAAACTGAAAAGCCTGCTAGACAAATTCTAAAAGAGCTGTTAACACTGCCAAAAGCATTTCTAATTTAACGAGGAAACTGTACCTGGGTCTAAGTCCTCACTACAAACTCCACATACATTTATATGAACATGAGGATAAGATTACACCAAGATTTAACTTCTCAAGATAAAAGATTAACTGAAGAACAATTCTGATACCTTGTACTAAGTACTACGAACACAACAACCATAAGTGACTATGTGATACTTATGCTCGTGAATACCCTCAAAAATCTTTTGTTTCATCACTCAATAACAAAATAACTTTTGCTGAAATCATTAAAATTAGCTCAGTAAAAAAGCAAATGCACAAAGAAGTACAAGGATATTTATTTTATAGCATTATTAGTAGTAACAAAAGATTGGAAAGCATCTAAACATACAGCAACAAGAAAGGGCTAAACACATTATAACACATTTAGAAAATGAAACTATTTAATCGTTCAAAATAATGATTAAGTAGAGGCAGTTCCATGTTAATCATATGGAACAATTTCCAAGAATTTACAAGTCAGGACAATGGACATAGGGTGCTATCATCTGCAAAAGAGAAAAAAGCAAAAATGAAATATATGTGTAGACTATCTCTCGATAGTTACAGAATGAACTAGTTCACAACAGCTGTCTTTAGGAAAAATAATTGGAGGTCAGTATTATAGGGGTAGGAAGAAATTTTTTTTTTTTTGAGGCAGAGTTTTACTTTTGTCACCCAGGCTGGAGTGCAATGGTGCGATCTGGCTACTGCAACCTCTGCCTCCTGGGTTCAAGCGATTCTCCTGCCTCAGCCTCCCAAGTAGCTGGGATTACAGGCGCCCACCACCACACCTGGCTAATTTTTGTATTTTTAGTAGAGATGGAGTTTCACCATGTTGGCCAGGCCAGTCTCGAACTCCTGACTTCAGGTGATCTTTCCGGCTCAGCCTCCCAAAGTGCTGGGATTACACGCGTGAGCCACCGCACCCGGGCAAAAATATACTTTTAAAACTTCTTGTAGTACATTTAAAATTTTTTTCCATAGGTATGGTGCATCTATTTCTATTTTTATTTTTTTTTATTTTATTTATTTATTTATTTATTTTTTGAGACTGAGTCTGGCTCTGTCGCCCAGGCTGGAGTGCAGTGGCCGGATCTCAGCTCACTGCAAGCTCCGCCTCCCGGGTTTACGCCATTCTCCTGCCTCAGCCTCCGGAGTAGCTGGGACCACAGGCGCCCGCCACCTCGCCCGGCTAGTTTTTTTTTGTAATTTTTAGTAGAGACGGGGTTTCACCGTGTTAGCCAGGATGGTCTCGATCTCCTGACCTTGTGATCCGCCCGTCTCAGCCTCCCAAAGTGCTGGGATTACAGGCTTGAGCCACCGTGCCCGGCTCTATTTCTATTTTTAAAGTTACATTTTCTAAGTTACAATTTCAGGTGAATAAATGAACAGTAAAAAAAAAAAAAAAAAAAGTCCAATTGTCCAACTGTTTATATATATATATACAGATACAAATGCAAACCCACAAAAAAGAGTCTAGAAGGAAATATACTAAAATATTAACAGTGGTTGTCTTTGAATAGTGGAATATAGGTGATTTATTTTCTTTTATCTTTATATTCTCCACATATCTCAATGAACATGTATTAGCTTTGAAATTATAAGAAGTTACACGTTTTTAAAACAAATACACATTTCTATCACAATTTTCTCAGATATTAAATAAAGTACATGCTGTGAGAATATGTATATTTTTATTAGAACTCTGAAACGGTTTCATGCTGGGATTCCATATGTTTGCTCCAGACTCACCCTGAAGTTATTTGAAGGGTCCTTGAGACTCTTTTGGATTGCTGCTTGGAGAACATTCTTATAACCTGCCCCTGCTCCTTGAGCTATAAAAGCAGAAGAGAGGTACTGAGTTAAAACTTATAAATTATTATCAAATAAATCTTCAACAGTGGTTCAGTCCAAGGTCAACCATCAGCTTTCAAAATACCCTAAACTTTCCAGCCACCTTACTGAATTCAAAATTTCAGATGACTCTTCGACCAAACATCATTAAGAATGGAGTATAGGGCGCCCTGGCCCGCCCCGCCGCAGCCCCCGCCCCCGGCCCACCCGGCCCGTGGCTGCAGGGTGGCAGCGGCGCGGTGTAGGCGGCAGCAGCAGCGGCAGCGTTTATGTCGGGTCCCACGGGGCCTCGCAGCAGCATGGCGGTACCTGATCAGCAGCGGCACCAGCTACATGCTCCAGGACGGGCTCACCGCACAGCAGCTCTTTGCCAGTGACCAGGGACTCACCTACAACAACTTCTTGATTCTCCCAGGATTCATAGACTTCATAGCTGATGAGGTGGACCTGACCTCAGCCCTGACCCGATGGTCACGCTGAAGACGCCACTGGTCTCCTCCCCCATGGACAGTGTGACAGAGGCTGACATAGCCATCGCCATGGCTCTGATAGGAGGTATTAGTTTCATTCACCACAACTCACTCCAGAGTTTCAGGCCAGTGAGGTGCGAAAGGTCAAGAAGTTTGAACAGGACTTCAACACGGACCCGGTGGTGCTAAGTTCCTCGCACACTGTGGGTGATGTGCTGGAGGCCAAGATGCGGCATGGCTTCCCTGGCATCCCCATCACGGAGACAGGCACCATGGGCAGCAAGTTGGTGAGCATCGTCGCCTCCCGAGACATCGATTTTCTTGCTGAGAAGGACCACACCACCCTCCTCAGTGAGGCAAAGACGCCAAGGATCGAGCTAGTGGTGGTTCCAGCAGGTGTGATGTTGAAAGAGGCAAATGAGATCCCACAGCTTAGCAAGAAAGGGAAACTGCCTACCGTCAATGATCAAGATGAGCTGGTGGCCATTATCACCGACACCCACCTGAAGAAGAACCGAGACTACCCTGCGGCTTCCGAGGATTCCCATAAGCAGCTGCTGTGCGGGGCAGCTGTGGGCACCCATGAGGATGACAAATACTGCCTGGACCTGCCCACCCAGGTAGGCGTCGACATCATAGTCTTGAACTCGTCCCAAGGGAACTCAGTGTATCAGATTGCCATGGTGCATTACATCAAACAAAAGTACCCCCACCTCCAGGTGACTGGAGAGAACGTTGGTGACAGCAGCCCAGGCCAACAACCTTATTGACACTGGTGTGGACGGGCCGCGCATGGGCATGCGCTGCGGCTCCATCTACATCACCCAGGAAGTGATGGTCTTCGGTTGGCCCCAAGGCACTGCTGTGTACAAGGTGGCCAAGCATGCCCAGCGCTTTGGTGTGCCCATCATAGCCAGTGGCAGCATCCAGACCGTGGGGCATGTGGTCAAAGCCCTGGCCCTTGGAGCCTCCACAGTGACGATGGGCTCCTTGCTGGCCGCCACCACGGAGGCCGGCGAGTACTTCTCAGACGGAATGTACCTCAAGAATTATCGGGGCATGGGCTCACTGGATGCCATGCAGAAGAGCAGCAGCAGCCAGAAACAATACTTCAATGACAGGGATAAGGTGAAGATCACACAGGGTGTCTCGGGCTCCATCCAGGACCAAGGGGCCATTCAGAAGTTCATGCCCTACCTCATAGTGGGCATCCAGCATGGCTGCCAGGATATCGGGGCCTGCAGCCTGTCTGTCCTTCGGTCCATGATGTGCTCAGCGGAGCTCAAGTTTGAGAAGCGGACCATGTCGGCCCAGATCGAGGGTGGCGTCCATGGCCTGCACTCTTACGAGAAGCGACTGTACTGAGGATAGCGGTGCAGGGCGAGGTGGTGGAGGGAGTGCACCCCAGTGTCCACCTTCGGGCACAGCCTCCCTCCATCACTGAGTCCACAGATTTGCACTACAGGTTCCCCAGCTCCTTTCCAGGGAGAGAGGAGGGGAGGCTCTGAGGGGTCTGCGGCCACCCTCACTGAGCATCCCCTGCAGAGTCAGGACAGCTCCCTGGGTTAGGCTGCCCTGGGATACCCCCTGAATCCAGCCAGGCTCTCAGGCCCTGCACCTGCCTCAGGTCTTTCTTGCTGCAGCCTGCTCCAGCCCAGCCCCCACCCCAGGGGCAGGAGGCTCCTCCTGGCTTCTCCTGTAGGGCACCTCCCTGTCCCCAGTCCCCCAGGAAATGGTGCTCTCCTGGCCCTGCCTCTGGCCCTTCCCGGGCTGCTGCCCCCTCAGCCATGTGGCACTTCTGAGCTCCTGACCTAGGCCAAGGGGAGGTCTCTGCCCCCTTCCCTGGCCCTGGGCTACCCTTGGGTCCTGCTCCTCAGGCCACTCCCCAGTCCCTGGCCCTGGGGAGGAGGCCGCCCTGGTCATGGCTGCCTGCCTGTTATTCCTGACTCACCACCGTCCCCAGGTGTACCATTCCTGCCCTCTCCTCAGCTGCAGTTGAAGGCTTTAACTTTGCACACTTTGGGATCCCTGTCGAGTCACTGTGTGTTAAATAATCGGAATAAATCAAGTAGGTCTCAAAAAACAAACAAAAAAAAAGAATGGAGTATAAATGCTACTTCTGTTCTCGATCTTTGATCAGACAAATTTAGAGTGTGTTGGGGTGGAAGAGTGCTCTATAGATCAATGAGTCTCAGCCATGCCCTTTAGGCTGTGATGCTATGGTGGCAGTGAACTTGCTAACAGAGCCGAAGCTGAGGCTGAGTCTAAAAGACAATGAGGGATGCAAGTAAGGGAGAAGGCCAATGTGAGTCTGGTCCTTTTTATCAAGGAAAAAATCGAATGTGCTCTTTTCCGTAAGGAAGTTTTGTGAAATTTGGGACACATGCAAGGAAAGTATGAGACCCAAGTGACATCACCCGAAGTTGGATAGTGGTTGTGAGGCCAAATACCAGAGCAAGGCAGTAGGGTTCAGCATACATGCAAAACTCCTGAATGTCCATAGCTCTGCCAGCCTGTGCAGATCCCAGATTCTTTCTTGAAGACTGAAATGTTAAGAACTGCTTGGCAGCATTTTGCAGAGATCATGAATATACAGGGCAATGGAGTTGGCAGATCTGAGATATGAAGAATATAAAGGGATGTGATTTCTAGCCACAAGCTAAAGGGGGCTTTGGTCATCTGGGTTCCATTCCATCCACCTATCCAACAAATGAATCTTTACCAGTCACGCCCCGCCCCATGCACAGAGTACTTCCTCTAGGCCACTGAGAGGCCAAAATTCTTACCAGACTGCTTGTATTTCTGGATTTTTGTCTTCAGGTCTATTCTGTGGATGTTCTTTAGGCATTTTTCTAATAAATCCAGTTGATCTGGGGCAACCAGATTTAGTTTCTCCAACTCAACCACAAGGTCCAAGAAACTCTAAGAGAACCACCAACAAAAAACAAACGTCAATAGAGCTAGCTAGACCAGGTGCAGTAGCCCATGCCTGTAATCCCAGCACTTTGGGAGGCTGAGGCGGGAAGACTGCTTGAGCCCAAGAGTTCGAGACCAGCCTGAGCAAAACAGCGAGACCTCCATCTCTACAAAAAAATAAAAAAATAAGCTGAGTGCAGTGGTACACACCTGTGGTCCCAGCTACTCAGGAGGCAGAGGTGGAGGATCACTTGAACCCAGAGGTCAAGGCTGTAGTGAGCCATGATTGTGCCATGGTACTCCAGCCTAGGCAGCAGAGTGAGACCCTGTCTCCAAATAAAAAAAAAAAAATAGAGCTGACTAATAAGCCCCAGATGCAAACCTCAGTCCATGTGATTTATAGCAGTAAGAAGATGTGACAAGATGAGCCCTTTCAGTGACCTTCAGTGATCTTAAACCAGGTATCTCTGTCATGAGCAATTTAAGACTCCTGATTTTTACTCAGAACAGAGGTGGTGGTATAAGTTTTTTGGTCATCAATCTGCTCCTTGGTTGCAGACAGACACGTGGGCCATGTTGTGTCATTGAGAAGGACCATGAAAGAGCAGGGCTGAAACGAGAACCCTCCTGAGTTTATTATTTTCCAAAAGGCCAGGCTGGTCTCATAGTGAAAAACTCTAAGGGCTTCTCTGAAAAAGGGAGAAGGAAGGTAGCTGGGGAAAGACTTTATGAGAAAAATCACATGATATAGTTTTAAAGTTTCCAAAATATTTGAATCAATGCTAGACCTTCCAACTCATTCTGACCTTCTGACTCAGGGGGTTATAAGAAAGTGAAATTACAACAAGGTTTGAGTGTTCTGCTATTCATTTACCTTGGGCCACAGTGATTATGAACAAACTATAGTTCAGAAACAGGCATTGCTTTGGGATCTATTTCCTTTGCATTTAACATTTGGTTACTGAAGTGCTATCTTTATTTTTGAAAATAATAATCATAATTTAAATATATATAAATGACTGGGAGAGACAATTACTAGCAGAAACCAAAAAGGGAGTTCTAGTTTCATTTTCCTTCCCATTTTGCGTTTAATGGGACTTAAGAAACAAAACTAAAATCATTAGGAACATGAGGAAATTCTCAAGCAATGACTTATCTGAATCGTCAGAGGCAGGCACTGGTCTGCCTATTTTGAGGACCTATTGTCATATTTTAGAAACAATAGGTTCTCAAACATTTCCTGGCCTATCCTTAGGTCAACAGTACCACGTAGGGCCAACTGGAATGTTGTTTTATTTAATTAATTTATTTTTTTGAGATGGAGTCTCGCTCTGTAGCCCAGGCTGGAGTGCAATAGCACAATCTTGGCTTACTGCAACCTCTGCCTCCTGAGTTCAAGCAATTCTCATGCCTCAGCCTCCCAAGTAGCTGGGATTACAGGCGCCCACCACCATGCCCAGCTAATTTTTATATTTTTAGTAGCAATGAGGTTTTGCCATGTTGGCCAGGCTGGTCTTGAACTCCTGACCTCAAGTGATCTGCCCGGCTTGGCCTCCCAAAGTGCTGGGATTACAGGCATGAGCCACTGTGCTAGGCCAACTGGAGTTTAAATATTTTTCTTTTTTGTTGTTGCTGTTTTTTTGAGACGGAGTCTTGCTCTGTCGCCCAGGCTGTAGTGCAATGGTGCAATCTCGGCTCACCGCAACCTCTGCCTCCTGGGTTCAAGTGATTCTCCTGCCTCCGCCTCCTGTAGCTGGGATTATAGGCGCCTACCACCACGCCAGCTAATTTTTTGTATTTTTAGTAGAGACGGAGTTTCACCAGGTTGGCCAGGCTGGTCTCAAACTCCTGACCTCAGGTGATCCACCCACCTCTGTCTCTCAAAGTGCTAGGATTACAGGCATGAGCCACCACGCCAGGCCATGGATTTTAAATATTTTTCTAGTAATCATGACACATCCCCTAGATCTTCATCACTACCTGGTTTTCTTTTCTTTTTTTTTTTTGAGACAGAGTTTTGCTCTGTCACCCAGACTGGAGTGCAGCGGCGCGATCTTGGCTCACTGCAAGCTCTGCCTCCCGGGTTCATGCCATTCTCCTACCTCAGCCTCCCAAGTAGCTGGGACTACAGGCGCCCGCCACCACGCCCAGCTACTTTTTTTGTATTTTTAGTAGAGATAGGGTTTCACCGTGTTAGCCAGGTTGGTCTCGATCTCCTGACCTCGTGATCCACCTGCATCGGCCTCCCAAAGTGCTGGGATTACAGGCGTGAGCCACCGCATCCGGCCTCCTGGTTTTCAACTCTAAATCTCTACTTTTACCATTTCCCAGATACATCAGTCACAAGAACCTCCCCCCACCCCACTCCTACGTGCAGCCTAGATCCCACACTGACCTTGAGTCAGCTGAGGAGAAAGAGATGGCAGTAGGAGAGCAATACCATAATGGACTAGCACCTCCTTCCTGTTTCCACCCAGCACAAGCAGATGGGATGTCCTCCCCACACCCCCGTCAAACCAGGGAGGGAAACACATATAAGCCAGGCCTATGAATTTTACAGAAATAAGGATAAAATCCAAGGATAAAAGAAACATCCAAGGCCACACCAGAAGATATTATTATCCTATTTCTTCAATTCATAAACCAATTCTCTTCCCATTCATGTTATTTAAAAACCACCTGAGATGTCTGACTCCCACTACAGTGGCAGCAGACTGCCTGCTTCCCTCTCTCTGTATCAAAAATAGTAGCTCCCACTTCTGATAGGCTCTTGGGACCATGAACCAAAAAGAAGAAAACTCACCTTCTCCTTGCTTATCTTGCCTCGGCCCATGTAATCCTTCATGAGGAAAATTAATGAGGATACATCAGATTTATCTAAATCCTCACCGATCTCTGCCATCAGCACTCTGCAAACCAGAAAAGTTCATTTAGTTAATTCAGACACAAGTCCTAAGACAACTCGAAGTGCCCACACCTCCCCTATGCAACAATGGATTGAAAGACTAGTTCTTGCCCCTGTGTAAATGTGTCCCTCCCTCATAAAACAGCAAGCCTGGATCACCCCAGGAAGAGATCTTAAGGGAACTCAAAAAAGGGATCTTGTCTTTGCCCATTTAATAGGAGATGGTACCTCCTTTGCCAACTAACAGCTTCTGAAAACAACTCAGAGAATGGAAACTTCCCTAAAGAATCCCCTAGCTGCCCCAGAGGTTATAGTGAAATGACTTAAGAACCCAAATGACTAACATAAAAGGCAGAAATAGAATTTGAAGGAGCCTTGTCATCTCTGTTTAACAAGCTCTCAGGTGATGTTGATTCAAGGACCATATTTTGAATTGCAAGATGCTAAAGGAAAGAAATACCTGACATACCCCGGCCCACTTCTGAACTTAAAGGGTACAGGCATCTGGATCACGGGGATTCTGAACTTAGATGTCTTTGCCTAGAAAGCCTCTCCTGACTCAGGGGTGGCTGGAGCGAACGCTATATATATATATATGTATAATTTTTTTTTTCCAGGAAATAGACTTTGAGAACCAATAACTGCATTTTACTGGGGGCTCCTAAGGACAACTTATGGTTAGTATTGTTATCATGACATTGTCATCAGGCCATTTTCCCAGTTAGCCTCTCAGATTCTCGAGGATGACAGATTTTTCATTTTGTCCTAGAGCTTATCAAAACACTTAGCACATGCCAATACACAATGAAGCCCACTCACCAGATGAATAAATAAATCTAGCACTCCCCTTCTACTGGCCCCCTTCTCTTCCCAGAGGGCCTGAAGAATCTCCACTCATCATAGCAAGGAAATGGGAAAAGGAGAGATTGCCCTAATTTACTCACTGAAACTCAGCTGGCACCTCCCAGAAAGTTTGAAGACTACTGACATTAAAACTGATGGCTGAATAGGTGGAAGATTTAAAAAAACAATAGTAACAACAATGATGATAATCCCTTGTATCTGTAGAGTGCTTCACAGTTTAAAAAGTACTTCACATAGTAAATTATTATAGCTGATGCTCACAACAACCTTGTAAGGTCGGGTATTATTATTTTTCGCTTTACAAGTAGGAAAACAAAGGCCCAACAAGGTTAGTGATTGGCCCAGGCTGCCTGGCCGTAACTGGTAGATCTGAGGCTTGAAACAGGTCTTCCAGCTACAGTGAGCTATGATCACGCCACTGCACTCCAGCCTGGGTGACAGAGCAAGACCCTGTCTCAAAAAAAAAACAAAAAACAAAAAAACAGGCTTTCCAAGGTCAAATCTCATATACTTCCCAGAGCCCACACTGCTTTCAGCTCTTTTTGGTATAGTTCTTGATAATATATATCATCTCCAAATACACATTATCAACATAATAAAAGGCTGGTGGTCGAGAGAAAAAACACCAGCTGGGCACGGTGGCTCACGCCTATAATCCCAACACTTTGAGAGGCCGAAGAGGGCAGATCACTTGAGGCTGGGAATTCAAGACCAGCCTGGCCAACATGGCAAAACCCTGTTTCTAGTAAAAATACAAAAATTAGCCAGACATAGTGGTGCATGCCTGTAATCCCAGCTACTCAGGAGGCTGAGGCGGGAGAATCACTTGAACCCAGAGACAGAGGTTACAGTGAGCCAAGATCGCACCACTGCACTCCAGCCTGGGCTACAGAGCGAGACTTTGTCTCAAAAAAAAGAAAACACCAACTTAAAGTTACAAGTTATCTTCCTTTACCCAGGAACTCAGTCTGTCAGTAGCTTCCATGCCCCTCTGAACCTCAAAAGACATTAACATGTGAGCAGGAGGAAGGAGCAACCCAAAGCTTGTGGGAACTAAAGCAGACTCCAGTGGCCGTTTCCTCTTCGACTGAAGGGGCTAAGATGTGGTTAACTGAAAAGATTTTCAATTCGGGCTCTCCAACGTCTCCAAGGGCAGGAAGCACAGGAAAGGAGCCCACCCTGATAAACTTCCTCAGCAGGGGTAGGGCCAACGGGGATTCAGAAGGGATGATGGAGTTTCTACAAAGGTAGGAAGATTGCTGTCAGACTTGTTATTTCCTTTCTTTGTACCAGAAATTATCAAGGACTGACTTCACAGAAAATGAACTAGTAAACACCACCACAGATCTCACACTGTCAGAGGCTGGCAAGAATGACTAGCTCTTAGTCATTCCTATCTTTCTTCATGTCTTGTCATTCTATCCTTCAGGCAAACACATACCATCTGTCCCTTCTACTTGCATATGATCCCAATTCCTTTGAGAAAGCATGTTTCAGCCAGGGGCAATGGCTCACGCCTGTAATCCCAGCACTCTGGGAAGCCAAGGCAGGTGGATCACTTAAGGTCAAGAGTTCAAGACCAGCCTGGCCAACATGGTGAAACCCCGTCTCTACTAAAAATACAAAAAAAAAAAAAAATTAGCCAGGCATGGTAGCGCACGCCTGTAGTCCCAACTACCTGGGAGGGTGAGGCTGAAGAATCGCTTGAACCCAGAAGGCGGAGGTTGCCGTGAGCCAAGATCACGCCACTGCACTCCAGCCTGGGCAACAGAGTGAGACTCTGTCAAAAGAGAAGAGAAGAGAAGAGAAAGGAAGAGAGAGAAAGTTTCAAGAATTTAAAGGGTTCACAGGAATGAAGTGACGTCATCTGGCAGTTGGATAAGTGGGCAGAGACAGTAAAGTGGCTGCATTTCTTATTATCCTCGTTTCTGCCATTCAGTAGAGTCTGAGACACTTCAATCCCTCCCACCTATCCAGCCTCAGGAAGAGGTGATGAATTACCTATAGTCCGAAACAAGGTGAGGGTTCCTGAGCAGGTGGGTCTCCACAGCTTTTCTGTCCATCTTCAAGATCCGTTTGAGCAGGTCAAATCGCCTCACTCTGTAGAGCAGTTCAGCCAAGTCCCCGACAGACAGCTTACCTCTTTCACGTAAAATATCCAGAAGGTCCCTGACATTAGGTGGAACCACATCTACAGCAACATCCCGGCACAAAAAGAGCAGCATCTCCTTCTCATCTGTGTCAAGTGCTTCTTCGACCTGATGGATGACCTCAGCAGACATCCTACTCTTAGACTACAGAAGCTCACAAGGGTCTGCAGAAGTACAGCTCCGGGTCAGTCAACAGAAAGCCAGCAGGCAGGCAGTCAACTTCATTTCTGAGGGCTGACTTCATTTCTTTCAGAATCCTTTCCAGTGGGGGAGTTCTGTGGTTAAAAGGGAATTTTTCTGAAAATCTTATCAAGCTACCTTACGCCTAAGATTGAAAGTATGGGCTCTTTCTTTCTTGGTGGTCTCCCTGACCTAAGTAGATTAACTTCTATAGAAAGGGATCTATAGAAGTCTATAGAAAGGGATCCTTGGTAGACAGAGCCAAAATGTCAGACTAATCCAAAGAGACAGAGAAGAAAACCTACATTGTAAAGGAAATGAAACAACAGATGAAATCATCTCCTAGGAAACCCCACATTCTTTTTCAGAATTCATCAGAATGTAAAACATGTTACAGGGAAAATTACAACTAAGGGGTGAATGGCCTCAGTAGGAGGAATAGGGAAGAAGTATGTAGTAGGAGGAAGAGGGAAAAGCCCAATGACAGACAGCCTGACTAAACTAGAGAAACTTGCCTCACAGGGTTAAATCTCCACTTCAATGACTCCACCCACGTGGCCTTGAACAAACAATGGGGAAAAGAAGTTTCTGTCCCTATGCCACTCCTTTTTTCTAGTTGCTCTCCTACTTCAAAAGCCCCTCACTCACACCTGGAGGCAGAAACCTCTGCTGCCATCCTCCTAGACCCCAAGCCCTTTTCACAACTTCATCACGAATGCTCACAGAACCTGCCACCAAGTTGTCGGGTTTGGATCATGTCTTCAGACCCTGAGCCCCATGGAGGTGCCAGAGGCCCTGACTCTCAATGCACTGCTACATGGCAGCAATTGCCATCAGTACTTCTGATGTTCTCAGTGAACATCAGGAAGTTACAGAGGATCTGGGGAAAGATCTCACTCCGGGGATGGGGCTGGGTGGGAGGGGTAAGGAGCTCATGCAATGGGTGTGTTCTTAACTTCTTCCATTGAAACATCCTATTTTCTTGCAAAATTTAAGTTGCTAACCAATCTACTCTAAGTTTCACAGCTAAAACTTATGTTAAATCAACTCTTGTGTTCTTTATCTGTTCCTACAAGACAGTATTTCAGGTTAAAACCAAATTTATTAACAAAAAATAAGTGGAAACACAACCCAACTCTAAATTGCCAATGGTTGCTTTGTATTTGTGTTCAAGTATACTTATATATTTATCTAGCTGTATTGAGTGAAAGAAGCACTGAATCCATTTATTTATTAACATACAATATCAGTCCACAAAAGATTTGAGCTATCTTAAATAAAAACACATAAATAGAAAATTATATATGAGAACAAGGGGAAAAAATTATGTTAGAAATTTGAAATGGGCGTGCCCATTCATCCAAACTTCACTTAATATGATCATTTGTAAATAACTGGAGAAATTAAATTTGCTAAGTTAAATTTACTAAAATAAATTTGCTCAATGAAAGTGGAAAAATTAGCACTCAGAAAGATAAATACAAATTTTATGTGCTCTGGAAAGCCCAAATCTATACTCCACTCGCAGGCCAACAGTGCTTTAATCTCTAATTCTCTATTTTTTCACAGTCATCTAACTTCTGTAATTCATAAATATCAACAATATAACAATGCCACCAGGAGTTAACAAAATTAGATAATCATTTTAAAAAACGTGATCTGCTCAGTTTGTTTCTTCCAACCATCACACCCAGTCACGCACACTCAGCAAGAGCACTGGCATACTGTCTTCCCTCTGTGCTCATGGGGGTAGAGTTTGGCAGCAAAATCTAGATTACTCAGTGGTAGCATCTGGCACATTGAAAGAAAATATCAAAAGGAAACTACAGATCCCGTGTGGAGCCAGCCCACTCAGATGCAGCAAAATATCAGCGTGTGTGTATGCTGGAGGCAGTTCACTGTGGCTAGAGGTGCTGGGCACTTGAGAAAGGAGAGCATACTAGGGAGAGGTAGGGCTGGGGTCCGAATAATCACCACTTTGTTGCGGTTTCTTTTAAGCCCAAGCCAAGAAACTAACATAAAAATTACTCTTAGACTAGGGAAGCTCATAAGGTCTTCAGTTTTTTGTAGAGACAGGGTCCCACTGTGTTGCTCAGGCTGGTCTCGAACTCCTGGGCTCAAGTGATTCTCCTGCCTCAACCTTCCAAAATGCTGAGGCTACAGGTGTGAGCCACCACACCCAGATGAGTGAGTTCTTTAGAGCCCAGTAAAAGGACTTGCGCCCATCAGTTACCAGCTCCACCCAGCCTGAGCTGTCGGACTCAGTGTCCCATTCACTTCTTCTGAAGACTCACTTGCCTTCACCTTACTCAGATGAAGGGCAAAAGGAATATCCAAGCCCAATTATTTTTCTTCCCTGCTTTCAAATACCCAATCCTCCTAACTGATCAAGATTCCATTAGTTTCGCTTCTCCCCGCAGTGTTTTCAGCAGTTCACTTTCCCCAGTTAGACAAAATTGGCAACCGTGTGTATTTTCTAGAATTTTAAAGGAATTCCCCTTAACTCCCCTCACAGGCATATTCTAATTTAATGACTATATCTCCCCTTCTTTTCCACACCCACACCCTGGGACAAACTGTCCCCGACCTTCACAACAAGAGCAAATAAAACCTGAGACCAATTTCTGTTTCATTTCTCTTGCAGAAGTCATGAAACTATCGCCAATTATTACGCAAAACGCCAACAAAGCTTAGGCAAGTCAGAGTTATCTTTCACACACTAGCTAACAGGAGCATCCGGTTCTGGAAACAGAAATACTCCAGGCATTTTTTAATAGAAATTACACTTAATACTGGAACTAACAAAACTGCTGAGAGGACTGGAGGAAGGGGCTCTGAGGTGGGATTCTAACAAAGACTCCTGGGGCTGCTGGAACAACCTTGCCTCAGCCAGGGAAGTGAGGATCAGGAGGCTGCCACTAGAACTGAGCTCAAAGACCCTCTGACAGTGGAGACCCAGAGATCAGAGGGCGCATGCTACAAACTCTGGCCAGCATTTCCAACTATCTCGCCTTTTTCACTCCTGCCTGCCAGCCCTGCAGCATCCAGGGTGACCGAGTCCCAGGAAACCCCTCAGTCGCAGGCAAACAGGGATGGTTGATCACTCCAGCACCCCTGCCTTAATGAGTAAGCCTCTAACACTCCTACAACTCGAGTAGCAAGTAGTTCCGAAGGAAGGGAGAAGAGATAACACAATCTGAAAACTACTTACCACCACACCCTGCTGGTTTCCTGAGCCGGGCCCTATGGCTGCTCAACAGTTTCATTTACAAGAAGACTGGTCAGTTCCTTTCCCACACCCTTCAAGGAGTGCTCCAACCTGCACCACTCTTCCATCCCAACACCACCTCCAATGCCATTTCTCATCCATGTATCAGGCACAAACTCCTGCCACCTTCTACCCTTCCACTGCCCCAGCCGGTCCCTGCTGTCCCTCTGCTTGCCTAAGGCTAAGCCTCCCTGTGTGCCCTCCTGTCTTACTAAGCCCCTATGTCTACTCTCATGATCCTCTCTCTACCTCCAGAGACGGCTCCTCCCAGCTCGTAAACATGTGCAAGTCTCTTCCATCTTAAAAAATAAAGCCAAAACCCTCAAAAAAGCCTGAGGGTCCCCTAGACCAACCATCCTTTCACTTTATTCCCTTTCACATAAAGCTGGGACCTCGTGAAGGAACAGTCTGTACTCAGTGCTTCAGTTTCTTCAACCACAATTCACTCCTCAACAGGCCTCCACCTGGATCGCCTCACCCCACCATCTCCTCTACACAGCCACACTCAGTCCTGAGCCTTACTGGAATATGACGCAAAAGGGACAATCAGCAATACTGATGCTGTCTTTATTTAAATTTTGGTATTTTGTTCATCATAGATTTTTGGCATTTCTGTCTGTTTTTTAAAATATTGCATTAAAATATTATCTATGTTGATGACTGACTTTTTGAGCACCCCCTTACATGTTGTCCTGAAGCGAGTGCCTTGTTTGCTCCTGCTAATATCCCAGCCCTGATGACACAGCTCTTGTTGAGGCCCTCGTGACCTCCTGGCTGCCACATCCAAAAACTTGGAAGTCCTCTTTCAACTGATTGCTCAACTCCAGCTGACACTGCTAATTAATCCCTCCTTGAAACTCTTCTCCCTTGGCTGAGCTCACACCACTATATTCTACACAGACCCTTCTCTAACCTTCTCCTACTCCTCAGCATACTCTTTCTGCTCCTGTCCCTTAAGTGCTGGTGCCTACCATCCATCTCTCATCCAAACTCATTCCCCTAGTCATTCTGTTCCCCTGCTTCCGACCTTACCCTCTCCAAATCTACCTTCCATCTAAGTGAACTTTCTAAAATTCATGCCTGAACTGGCCAGGCACAGGGGCTCACACCTGTAATCCCAGCACTTTGAGAGGCCAAGGCAGACGGATCACTTGAGGCCAGGAGTTCAAGACCAGCCTGGCCAACATGGCAAAACCCTGTCTCTACTAAAAATACAAAAACGGGTGGCTGAGGCACAAGAATCTCTTCAGCCTGGGAGATGGAGGTTGCCAATGAGCTGAGATGGCGCCACTGCACTCCAGCCTGGGCAACAAGAGTGAAACTCTGTCTCAAAAAAACAAAACAAAACAAAATACCTCTATTGAAGCACTTAACACACTTCCCTGGTACCCACATTAGCCCTAACCAGGTGTCAGCAAATGCAGTTAAGTTCAGTCAGGCTTCTCAACCTTTCTCACAGAACACCAACGCTACCTCCATCAAAGGCACATATTGTTCCCTGTAATCAGTAGCAAAGCATGCAGCAGGACCAGCTAAGCCATCCAAAGATGTACTTAACATTCCCTTCTTTCTACTGCTTCTCTATGTGAAGCAAGGTCATTGTATGGCATGAAAGCAATGTCATGTCCAATGAGCTATGGCATGAATGCAAATGTAATTTCTAAGCAACCCCACAAACTGGGCGGCAATGGAGAAACCTGTCTTGCCAGCTGCAGAAAGCAGCATGCAAACCTGAACTTTCAGGTGTCTGGGAAGCCCCAGTGGAGATGAGAACATGAAACAAAGTGTCATCCAGAAGTTTCTAAAAGGAGAAGAGGTTGCACAATT